TCATGTTTCTCAGTTGAGGAGATACATTCCAGACCCATCTCATGTAATCCAAGTAGATGATGTGCATGTGAGAGATAACCTGACAGTAGAAACATTGCCTATGAGGATAGAAGATCGGGAAGTGAAACAGTTAAGGGGTAAAGAGATAGCATTAGTGAAGGTTGCTTGGGGAGGTCCAGCAGATGGAAATATCACTTGGGAACTGGAGAGCCAGATGAAAGAGGCTTATCCGGAACTGTTCGTCTAAGGTATGTTTTCGAGGACGAAAACTCTTTTAGTGGGGGAGAGTTGTAACACCCCAGTTTTAATTATTTGATTTATTTTAATTGGGAATTTATTTTATTAGAAGTAATGAAATAAAAAGAATTATTTATTTTGGAATATTTGGAGAAAATAAAAGAAATAAGAAAATATTGGGTTTTTAAGTTTTGGGCTTGGATGTCGTTAGTAAAGAGTGGGGGTGCAAAAGAAATAAGGATATATTTTGGAACTCAAGTTATTTTCTCATTATTCACGATAACACAGAGTTTGGGAAATTTGGGAAGCTGAGCTCTGAAGGTACGAAGAACGAAGAACATCGCTCGAAGAACTCAAGCTGCAATTTGATAAGGTAAGGGGGGCTACTACTCAATTTATATTTGCTTATGGGTTTAGATGCAATTGGTTGGGTAATCATAGGATAATCCCATTTTCTCTGATATTCTTAGTGATCGATAACTTTAGGGTCGAATTTCGTTAGAAAGGATTAAGTTCCCTAAAGGTTGTGAATCGATTAAGAAATTAATCCCCATTGTTGATTTAGATCGAAATTGTATGATCGTGAGTTTACCTTAGGTGTTCTAGGGATAACCTCAATGTTGTTAGGATTTCCCTAAAGGACGGGTAATATGTAACTTAAGATCAATTTTAATAAAACTTGTTGTTGATGAAAGGATTGTTGATAAAATAGGATGTTTTAAAAATGAAAATTCTGAGTTTTGATTGATTTTGGAAAATGAGACCTTAAGTGAAATAATGATGTCCTTAAGATTGGAAATTGACTAACGTAGAAGGGAATTGTGTTCCAATTGATGTGTTGTTTTGAGTTATGCATAATTGATGTTGTTATGTACCGAAATGCACGTTTTGGCTGGTATTTTTCGCGTTTGGCTGCTGTTCTAAGCTGCTGCAGATACAGGAAATTTTGGGTTCGCGCTCATCAACACGGGCCGTGTGGATTCACACGGGCACCCGTGTTGATTCACTGTATTGCCAAAAAAAATGTGTTTCCAGACACATTTCAACACGGGCCGTGTTGATTCACACGGGCACCCGTGTTGATCCCCTGTATTGGCAAAATAACGTGTTTCTGGACACATTTCCACACGGGCAGTGTTGATTTACACGGGCACCCGTGTTAAACCTCCTGTGTTGGTTTCTAAACTCTGTTTTCTGTGCATGCTGTTATGTACGGATTGATCCTGTTTTGATGTGCAGTGTTTGACATGTTTTGAAACATGTTGTTTATTGATTTCCTAGTGTTGATTGATGCTTGTATCGAATAACGATTGTATGTTATGATACCAACACTATATGGATTTTATTGTCATGCTTTTAGATGATGTTAACAAGCATGAATTATGATATAACTTGATATGATTGATGTTTAATAGTATGCTGAGTGATTACATGCTATCCATATCCTGTTATGATTGATGTTGTTGATGTTGCATGATATGTTGATTGATGTTAATAGTATGCTGAGTGTTACATACTTTACATATCATGTTGCATTTGTTAATTCCCATTGTGTGAAATTAACATGGTGGCCAATATACGTGTCCGCGATTTAATGGAACGTTGAGGTGGTAGCCGTGTCCGCGATATAATGGAACGGTGAGTTATCCGTGACCCGAGATTTAATGGGGCGGTAAAATGGTACCACATGCATGGGTGTGTTGCATTACATTGAATATAACATGAATGGGTGATTTTCCAATGTTGTATTTAATTGATTGTATGCATGTATTGCTGCTAAATTGTTAATGATGTTTGATGTTAATTATAAGTATGAAAAGTGATATATTATGAATATATGAATTGTAAAGGTTTTCGTAAACTATGAAACATGCTAGCTGTTTGGGTGATGCTTATGGTTTTCTGAATTGATTGTTATGAACGTATAATCAAATGTATAGTTGAGGTGCTCACCCTTACTGTTGAATATTTCAGATTGAGGAGCATTCGTTCAGGTGCTTGGCGAAGGCTTGCTGTTTCTAGTTTATTTCCGTTTAAGTATTGTCCGGGTCATGCTCTGATAGTTGTAACTCTGGGAACGTTTGTTTGTCGAGCTGCTTTAGTCAGACTCGTTTATTTCCTTATGTTTGTTATAATATGATGTTGATATTTTCCAGGTGTTAATCCCTGATGATTTTGAAAATATTATAACATTGGTTTTGTTAATTAAATTATTCCGCTGTGTAAACATGTATGAGTTGCTTCTATGTTATGCATGACAGGAACTTGTTTTTACTAAAAGAGAATTGTGACATCCTCGTTAATACATGTACTCTGAAATTATGATTTTAACTATTTACGAAATTTTATTCGGGGTTTTAGAGGGTGTTACATTAGCCAAGGGTTTAGATGAATGTGAATGAAGAATGCACACAAGGTTCTCTCAAATTTTTGGGTAAATGGATCTTGGCTTTGGTTGTTATCAAGAGATTGATTAATCGTGACTAACATATCAAGATTAATCAAGTCCCCTTTATGATAACTCAACTCAACAAAAAATTGCACAAGAACAAGATGCAATAAAAAATGAGAATGAATCTGACATGAATTCATAATCAAGAAGTTGTTATAAAGAGAAGAAGAGAATTAATCATGGTGATGAGAATATACACACTAAGAAGAGAAGACAAAAACATATCTATGGGTTTCTCCCATAGGTTTCACTCACTTTTTACTTTCATCAAAGAAACAACTATTTAAATCAAGGATGAAAAATGGGTCTTAAAGCTTCGATTTAGATCAAGTAAAAACTGTGATTCAAATCAATTTGAGCAGAGTCAAAATATAGCTTTAAGGAATTTGTTGATTCAAATTAATTTTTGCACTTGATTCGAATCACATGTGGTTGTGATTTGAATCATGTTCAATTTGTGATTCAAATCAAATGCTCCAGAGGAAAATCTCATTTTCACAGTTTGTGATTTGAATCATGTATTATACTTGATTCGAATCAAATGACTGAAAATCCAGATTTAAGAGTTCTAATTGTGATTCAAGCCACGCCTTATAAAATGAAAAAGTAGTAACTATCTAGGCTAAAAAAGACATACTATCAAGGATCAAACAATCTTATTAATTTACTAAGAATGATTCTTAGTGATACGACAACATAATAGCCAAAGCGATTACAAATGAAATACAAAATGAATAAAGTATAAACACACAATAATAAAATCAAATTACAAATACGCAAATACTAAAACATCAATATCAAATTGACAAAAACATAAAAACACATGATCAATACCGTACGATACCGTGACTGCACTTTCAATAGGATCCTTACTCTATTTAATAATGAGTAGGTCACAAATTATATGTGTATGTGTGCCACATTTCAAGCGTCACCTAAAAAAAATCCCACTTTAAGATCATAAAAAGAATTTTGAGGTATTTTAACGGAACCTCGCATCACAGTCTTTAAAATCCCAAATGTAGTGAGTGTAGCTTAGTTGGATTTTATGACTCTGATTTTGCTGATTGTAAATAAGACTGAAAAATTACTAGTGATATCTGTCACCTGTTTGAACACTATTTATTTTCTTGGCACAATAAGAAGCAGCATATCATTGCTCTTTCTAGTAATCAGGCTGAATATATAGTTGCTAGTAGTTATTATGCACAAGACTTGTGGCTAACACAATAATTATTGGACTTTGGGTTAAATCTTGACTACATTCCAATCAAATGTGATAACACTAGCGTGATAAGTATTACTAAGAATCCAATGTCGCATTCACAGACTAAACATCTAGAGACCCGACACAATTTCCTTAGGGATCATGATGAAAATGGTGATGTTATTTTTGAATATGTGAATACGAAAAAATCAATTAGCTGACATTTTTACAAAATTGTTATGCTGCCATCAATAGTGTATCAAGACCATATCTACATTCGTCTTGGATGGAAGGAGATTTCATGCGACTACTTGCTTGGGATAACTGAGACGTGATTATTTACGAAGAGGATGATGTATGCGATAATAATTTAGAGTTTCTCTAACTTTGAATGCGTATAACAAACTAAAAAAAAAGAAGATAATAATAGATGTAAAAGATTAAGGTTCATGAAATGGTGAAGAACAAATGAGATTAAGAGGCTCATATTTTTTATTTTTAAGTGATTAGTACTTAAATTGATTAAATTATTTTTAATATTTAAGGAAAATTAAAAGTTTATTTAAGAAATAAAATTGAAATTTGTTATATTGTTAATCAGACGCAAGCCTCTCCTTGGACGGATTCCTCCTTTCACTCCTTAGTATATAAGATATTAGCAACCGTTTTCAACTGTTATCCCCCTTCTAAGGACAGGTTCTTACGCATTACTCACCTGTCCGCCACTCAAAACACCGCTTCCCGTCCGAATATTTTCATTTAATAATATGGTGGTAGGGGTGACAAAATATATATTATTTATTTGTTATTTATGAGAAAACTTAGATATAAATTTTTAAGCGTGACTTTCATTATTTTCAATGAAATTATGAACACATAAATATTTTTCTCTTACACATTTACAATTTTCCCACCTTACCCTAGCCATTCCCTGTTCTCAGCCAAAAAACTTCGACAGCCATGATCAATCGCGCTTAGCAAATAAATTTCCCCCAGATTACCACATTTCTGATAAACCCTAATTATTCATCTCTTCCCTATTCAACACCAAGTTCAGATTGGGGCATTTCCAAATTTCAAATTCACCGATTAACTGAAAACAAAATGGATTCCGATGAAGAAGATTTTGTTTTCTTCGGAACAACAATAGAGCGAGAAGAAGATTCAATCAGCCGCAAAAAGAAAGCCGTTGCTGAGTCCTCTGGTCAACTCCGAACACTCCCTGCTTGGAAGCAAGAGGTAAGCGTTATCTCTCTTTCAACTTCCAATTCTGCATCTATCATAATTTCACTGAATTTTTTCTGTTTCCAGGTTAGAGATGATGAAGGGAGGAGAAGATTCCATGGTGCGTTTACAGGAGGTTTTTCTGCTGGTTACTATAATTCAGTGGGCTCGAAGGAAGGTATATAAGTTCTTTTGTGAATTATACCGGGTTTGAATTTTTTTAGCAGGCTTTGAGTGTTAACCTTAAATTGAATGTGCAGGGTGGGCACCTCAGACTTTTGTATCGTCTAGGAAGAGCAGAGCTGAATTCAAAGAGCAGAGCATAATGAATTTTCTAGATGACGATGAGAAAGCTGTATGTGGACTAATACTGTGCATGTATAAGTGTGTGCATGATTTTGATATTATGTGCATGTATATGAAAGCCTTTATGTTAAGGAAGTAAAAATGTAGGTGGACAAGTCACACCTTAGCCGATCCAACATATTTTTCTAGAAACATTTTTTTACGGAAGCCCTTTGTGAATATTGATATAGCTGTCCTTTATTAAACAATAATTTTTTGATTTATCAGTGCCTTTTTACATTCTTCTGCATTATTTGTTGTATTAAAGTTCTCAAATAAGGAAAAATCTGTTCTATTGCAATGTAGAGTAGGAAGTTTATTGTAATTTTTTGTTTGGGGTGGGGGAGAGGGGATACTACTCTTAGTTCAAAATGTCTAGGGAGGGTTATGTATTTCACAGTTAATATTACCATGCTTCTAGGATAGGGGTATGCTCATTCTAAAGGAACGTTAGCTGAAACTATGTTGTTAAAATGATGACACTATTATTAACCCAACCATAATATATATGATGTTTCTGAAGTCAAGTTAAGTTGGAAGGTTTACTTACTCAATTGGTTGCTGGGGTTTCAATATTTGTCTTTTTTTCTTTCTTTTCTTTATTTCTTGAGTTTTAACCTACACTTTGCACGTGTTTTAGGATTTGGAAGGTCAGTATTTGGGAACATCTTCCCAGTTTGACACTTTTGGTTCCACAGCTGCTGAAATTGCTCGCAAACAAGCTGAGAAGGAACAGAAACAAAGGTGCATTTTGTTTCTGTCTGCATATTTGGTTTTTTATTCCTTGTTCAATAATTTACTGCATAGAGAATACATATTCTTGAAAATATATGCCTCTCCCAAGATAGAAATAATAATGTAAAACTTTTATGAAGTAAATTATCCACTATAACTGGAAAAACTCCAACAACTCCAGGAGAAGGAAGCAAGGTAGTATCCTACATGTTTAAGCACCAATTAATGTTATGACAAATTATTGGAATTTCAATTTATTTAAAGGTTAACAAATAATAGATAATAAGGAAGTGAAAAAAAAAATCCCAAATTTTATACTGAAAGCCCCGAAATATCTCTACCCAGAGCGAATATATGCTAAGCATCATTCATCAATTTTTTTTGGGTGGTGTACCTCTAAAAGTCCAAAAAGCGGTATCTTCTACTCTCCTTTGATTACCTACCCTAGCTCTAGGGGAGGGGGAAATAGAGGCCTTGGACAGGGAGGAAATAGGAAGCTTCTCATGGAGAAGCTAAAAAATATTGTTGTTTTTCCTTTAAATGTTAAATTCAAGTATTACACTTGTTGTTGGGATTTTGTATGCCATTAAGTTCTCTTGTATCATGAAATAATGTGTGAGCCGTGGACTACCATTCCATAACTATTTGATGTTTTAACCATGGTAATTTTGTTGGTGGAAATTTTCTGATGAATAAGTGATTGGAGAGCTCTACCTTGTTCATTTATATTTTCCTCATATAGTTTTTCTTATTCATTTCCTTTCTTTGATCTAAATAATCTTTCTTTGTATCTTTATTCTCCCTCTGTATCAATTTAATATGTGAATATAAGTTATAACATGAGTGTTTATAATAATAACCAAGTTATAATTTTACTTGGATAATTTCTGATCTTATTCATAGTTTGTTTGTATTTTTTTGTCTCATTGTAGGCCATCCATAATTCCCGGACCTGCTCCTGATGAATTGGTTATTCCAGCCACAGAGTCTGTAGGTCTGTTCCACTTAATTCAAATAGCATCTTTGTTAAACATATCACGTCCCTTACCTCTTTCATGTTGCTTTTAAGGGGTGAAACTGCTGATGAAGATGGGATGGAGTCGTGGGCGTTCAATTAAAGATTCACATGCTGATGCCCTCTATGGTATGGTCTCCCATTGCCAATTTTGTCATTTAAATTTTTGCATTCCATTTTGTACTTATTCAGTCTTATGATACAAATTTAAAGATTGTAAGGAGGTGTATTCTTAACTTAAGGATAATGAAGGGTATTCTTAAGTTTTAGTTTTACCGCTTTTATAATTATCAACCTGGGTTGCAGTAATCATGTTGCTATTTCCTATTGTTCTGTCTAATACTTAGTATTTTAGCCTTTCTATGATTGGGATCAAGCCTGCTATCTCATATGATTCTGTGGTTTTTTTTCTCTTCTGTTTTGAGTTGGCAGAGCCTCTACCTGGATTATCCACATTCTTCCTTCTGCTTCTTTCTTTTTCGTGTCTTGCATTTTTCTCTGTACATTAATTATACCCTATTACCCTTTATGTAATAATCTGGAATGTTTAGTACAATATCACACTAGAGATATGATCAAAGGGTTATTTGGCCCAGCTCTTTTTTAGCTTCTCTTCTCTTTAAAAGTAGAAGTTTGACCAAACACTGTATTTCTTAAAAAAAATCTTACAAAAAGGAGCTTATAATATGCGTACAAAGAATGAATATACAGAGCTTTTGTAAAAAGGGCTTGGAGGAGCTTCTTAAACACAGCTTCGAATCTCAGCAAGCAAACTTTTATGTTTGAATTTTTTATATTCTTTTATATATTTTATGAAAAAAATCAATTTTTTTTATGGATCTAACCGAGTGAATTCCCTCTATGCAAATATTGAAGCAAACAAAATAACATTTTATAACTGGCATCAACACTTATTTAAAGTGGATACATTTTTATTTTTTTTATTAATGGTGGATACACATTTATAATTATTCCATGTGCATAATAAATTTGATAACTGGTCAAAAATATCTATTCCAGATTTCGCTGTTTTAAATGAATGTAAAGCATTGCTAAGATTGAAATTGAAATATTTGGGGCTTTGTTTGTTTTCTTTGGTTTAAATAAAATAAACTGTCTCTGACTTTTTTGAGCAAGTAGAACAATAAAGTTCACATTTTTAAATATTCAATTTATTTATGATAATTCACTCATAAATTCATAATATTCATTTATGATGATTTATAAAGATATTTTATTTTATCAAATAACTGTTAGCTTAAAAATAGTTTTTAAGCTAGAAAAATGACATTTACTACTTGAATTTTCTTCTTATGCTCTTAGTTTTAGCTTTAGTTTTAAAGTTGCTTTTAAATCCCAAAAATGCCAGGCCATACTCATCTTGGGTAGTGCTTTTAAAGATTGAGCGCTCCTCTTTGCAAGTCAGATTTGGGAGATGAGATAGGCATCAGCCTCATGCCCAAATTCGAAGATATTTATACTCCTAGGGTACATAATGTAATCTTAATAATCAATATAACCTTTTGTTCTGTCTAATACTTAGTATGTTACCCTTTCTATGATTCGGACTGGGCCCTCTATTTCCTATTTACCTCATTTGACTCTATGGGCTTTTTTCTGTTTGAGTTATAGCAGGACCTCTAGCTCGATTATCCACATTCTTCCTTTGGCTTCTTTCTTTTTTGTGTGTCTTGCATCTTTTCCCCGTACATTAATTATACCCTTTGTGTAATTGTCTGGCTTTTCCCACTGAGATTTATGGTAAGGATTATAGAAGCTCCGGAAAATAGCTTATTGTAAATTAACCCTTAACTAAACTCCCTAGATTAGCTTATTGAATAAGCTTTTAATTACGCCGTGCATCCATTTTTTCCATTTATGTTATTGTCAGATTACTATCAAATAAGCTGGATTTCATGCAAAATATTCTTGTAATACTGTCTGTAGATGCAAGAAGACAGGCTCGGAAAGCTTTCTTAGCATTTTGTTCAGATGATACAAAAGTGAAGGTTACCGAGTCTGAGCCTACCAAGGATGATATCGAAAACTTCCCGGAGCAGCCTGTGAATAATGATGCTCAGTCTTCTAAGAGTACACCAGTGAGAAATTTCCCTTACTAATCCTATCCTATATATAAAAGTTATAGATTTTGTGTATGATAATCTTGTTATAATCCGGTGGAATGTTTCATCTCTTTCATATTGCTATGGGGGATTGTGCATTCATTTTGACCCATTTAAAAGCACAATTTTTTTGTTGCTGAACTCCGATGAAAGATGACTATAGTAATTTTTTAGAGTGGAGGTGGATACTTATTCATCGGATCTTTGAATTTCAACATATATTTTAGCATAAGTGATCTTGCTTACTTCCACTGAATTTGATGCCAAATGCGAGAGGATGGGGGTCCATTGATACATCTGTCGCTCTACTGCTTCAGAAAATCATTTTATTAGCTATACCCTTTAATTGTAAGCAGTTGTCATATTGATTTTGCACTCAGGATTTGGAAAAGCCCAAACAAGAACATCATCATCAGATTTATATTTCAATAGATTCAAAAACTTTACCAACTCTAATTTTAAGATATTTGGATGAAATACTAGTACAAAACAATCTTGAGTTAATTTGAATGCTACAAGTATGATATGCATTATACAGACTTTCAATTCAATAGTGGATATCATTAACTTATCGATGGCTCCTATTCCTCAACGAACACCCATTGTCTTAATTATTTTAATTTAATTTAGCAATTGTTTTGTGTAAAATTTTAGCTGGCTGTTGGTATATCAATGATGTCCATATGTTTCTTTTCTTCAGGCTTACGTACTCAACCCAAAGCAAGACCTGTATGGATTAGGTTTTGATCCCTATAAGCATGCTCCTGAGTTTAGAGGTATGCTTTTTTATTGATCTACTTGTGGGTCCTGTTGATGTTGTTGCAGGTGACTGCCATTTAACTGTATTCTCTTCACTCTGTTTCAGAGATGAAAAGGTCACGCTTATCCAGCAAAGCGGGATCCGGGCACAGCAACAACTTTTCTAAAAGAGACAGTCTTTTTGGTTTTAAGTGTAAGATACTTGAAAATTTAAACTAAATATATGATAAATTGATAATCTGTGGTCTTCTTTACCGTTCGCTGATATCTGAAACTCTTTCTCATAATATCTTGACCTAAGTTAATTTAACTCCCTACTTCAATTCTTCAGCAGGAAAAGCTGCCCCTGGATTTGGCATTGGTGCACTTGAGGAACTTGATGCCGAGGATGAGGATGTTTATGCCACTGGTCAGTGATTCTACTCTTTTAGGTTAGAATTGAAAATGATGGAACATAGAATCTATTTGCTGTGCATGTTTTGAATTGGATAAGACATGATACTATTAAACTTGAGGATATGATGTCTGATACAATTTTAAAACTATGCCGTGTTTAGTGTGGCATTGTATAAATAAAATACTACTCCCGCCGTTTTTTATTATAAGTCATTTTGCCATTTCTACATTTATTAAGAAATATAATTATTGTTGCATGAAAAAATAAAGATAAAAAATGTTTTTACAATATTTTTCTTCATTAATGGATGAGAAAGATAAATTGGAAGAATTGAAATAAGAGAGAATAATACTCCCTCCGTCACAAATTAAAAAAAAAATCATTGAATCCATAAAGGTAACATTTTTACAAAATTATCCTTGATTACTATTGGTTGTTATACATTGTCATAACTTGGAAAGAGTGTAGGCAAGGGGTAAAGTTGGTAAAAATTAATTAATGTTGCATCGGAAAAGTAAAGAGACTATTATTTTGAGACAACTTTTTATGGCTAAATAGACACTTATTTTGGGACAGAGGGAGTAAATACTAAGGGTATAATAGGAAAAGTAGCATTATTGATTTGGTATTCTAAAACGACTTATAATTTGGTACAAAACTTTTTTCCGAAGTGACATACTAAAAAACAGAGGGAGTATACTATATATTGTATAGGATACTGCTACTTTTATGTTTGGTGATACACTGTATACAAATGTCCTTTACTTCAAAATTATACCATATTAATCTAATTCTTTTATGTTATATTAGTTTTGAGAGAAACAAAAGCTCCCAAGGTCTAAGGAATAAACTCATGACCAGTTGACCACTATCATTTGAATATAAAAAACAAATCAAGCATGCATCCAGTATAAAAACCCAGTATTTGAGCAAACCAATTATTTCAAATTAATACTATAATGATATCTTAAACAAGGCATTTAAAAAGAAATGGATAAGGAGGAACAATCATCCTTGGAGCTATATGCTTAAAGAGTATCTAGACGGAATTAGGAAGGTTGAAAGGCATAAAATCAAGAATGCCCTATACTGCTGACCTTTTTCTCTCCTTGAATTGCTTTTGGTTGTCTAATCAAGAAGGCCCACCTTTTGTTATCCACTCTTTACAATAGAGTATAAACATACAACTAAACAGTATGTCCTCATTGGCATGCAAACTTACCTCCTCAATTCCTTCTCAAAGTTTAAATTAATCAGTTACATACGTTCTTGAGCTACTCTGTCCCACCACTCATTGCTTTATCATAACAAAATTGAAAGTTATTTGGAAGAAAAATAAAGACTGAATGCTAAAACACAAAATATAACATGTAATGCAAACTAGGAAATTATAATTCTCATGCCTAAGGCAGGTTACTTGTCCAATTTCTAAATATTAACAATGTAAAAGAACATGGTCATTACACGCACTCAACAGAACCACCTATCAGTCATGCACATTTTTCCATCTTAAATTATCACTAGTCCACATTATATACAAGTTCCCAGCTATCGAGTTCTTAATGCCTGTAAAGTATCAAATCAAATTGTTGATTCTTAATATTCACTTTTAGAAAGAATAAGCAAATCTTACTGCCTAAGTTTTATATGTAAAGCACTCCATATAATTTGAGATTCAAATACATACAAACATACATATAAATTAAATTCATTATAGATTCTTTTGAACAACTTGCCTAAAAAGCAATAAGCCTTGTGCTTTCGATATTTTTTATGTTTTTGATCAAGAGAATAAATTTATTTCAGGTAAACTTAAATAGTGTAAGTTTCCTCTTATGAAAATGGGAAAATGGGCACAAGGTCAGCTTGTTGTTACTTATGTTTTTTTCTTTCTATTTTAGGTTATGTGTTTGAAGATGCTTATGTTCAAGAAGAGGTTGAGGAACCTTCACTGTTGGCCCTAGAAAATACAAAAAAGAAAGATCAGAAGGACCAGGGTAATGTGCCTGGTTTTAGAGTGGCATCCAATTCTGACTATAGAATGGAAAGGTTACTGAAGCAGTTTAAAATTCTTTATGTTAATTGTGTAGAATTTCTAATAGCAGTGATTTGAGTTATAACATTAATGGGGTCTAGGGATCTAAAATCTGGATAATATCTTAGCACTTTTTGGGGTTTGAGGTCTATGGAATGTATGTTATCTTGTTAATTCTTTTGTCTATTTTGTACTTATATGTTCGACTTTTATTTATTATTGTATAAATTCCTTTTCAGATTTGAGGCTCCTGTGATTCCCAAGGATTTTGTGCCCCGCCATTCATTTTCTGGACCTAGTGAGATTAACCGCCAGAACTATCAGGTCCCTCCACCAGATGTCCCTCCTCCCGAGGATGGCAATTTAAAAATATTAATTGAGGGGGTTGCAAATCTAGTAGCTAAATGTGGTAAATTATATGAGGATCTATCTAGAGAAAAAAACCAGTCAAACCCATTGTTTAACTTCCTTTCTGGAGGGACTGGCCACGATTATTATGCAAGGAAACTGTGGGAGGCACAACAGAAATGCAATGGTCAGAGTAGGGTGCAGTTGGATGGGAAAGTGCCTCCTGGTGTGCAAAGGCTGACAGCTGAGAGTCGAGGTCAGATCTTAGGGGAAAAACCTCTAGAGAAAACCTCAAAAGATCCATCCACATCTGTTTGTTCTACAGATATTCAGCTCCAATATAATCTTGTAGATACATTTACTAAGTCTGCATCATTTGTAAGCACAATCTTTCTGCTTTCTAAACTCCTCATTTGATTATTTAGAGAATATTTCTATTTTTCTTCTGGTAGTATGGTAAACTGATCAAGCTCTATAACCAAACAAAAAAAACTGATCAAGCTGTGTCTTGACTCAAAGAACTCCTTTGACGTGATTTTCAGTTTCATTTGCATGAATCTTTACGTCATTTAGGATAGAATTTGAATATTTGTTGGTCAGGCTTTTGACACGACGGACATTGTCCATGACATTAGACTTGGGTTATGCTTGTTGGTGCATATATCCCACTAGAACCTATAATTTGGTTTTGTCCTCCTTCTTGTAGAGATACCCCTATTCCTTCGCAAGACTGTAAACCTTCTATTATATCATCTAAAGAACTTGGATCTTTACTCTTGTTTATTTCCTTACTATTGATCCAGAGTGAGTTACTAGAATTTGAAAAGCCTTTCAAGGGTGATCCTGCAAAGCAAGAAAGATTTGAGCAGTTTATCAAGGAAAAGTATAAAGGTGGATTACGTTCTGCAAGTTCGAGTTTAGCTGGGAATATGTCGGAAGCTGCTCGTGCTCAAGAGAGACTATCTTTTGAGGCTGCAGCGGATGCAATAGAAAAGCAAAAGCAGAGCAGGGGAAGCAACAAGCTTTCAATTCCATCTTCCATGGATTTCATCACAGGTGGTGTAATGGAGTTTACATCTGGTGCAATGGAGGTATGACTGTAGCGATGTTCCTTTGTTTCTTTCCTTGTGGCTTTGGCTTAAGCTATTTGATGTGTTCTGTGCAAACAGCCAACAAAAGGCCAGCCAGCTGTAGATTTTAAGGAGAAGAAAATGTACCCAAAGAGGGAAGAATTTCAATGGCGCCCTTCACCTCTTCTCTGCAAACGCTTCGATCTTGTTGATCCTTATATGGGGAAGGTACTTCAAATAGCTTGCTATTTTATATTTTTATTCTTATACTAGTTTTGTTGTTCGATCACTTTTTATGCTCAGTATATTAATAATGTTTTGCTCTCTGTAGCCTGCACCTGCTCCACGGATTAGGAGTAAGATGGATTCATTGATTTTTACATCAGATTCAGTGAATGGTACAAAAGTGGAAGAGTCTGTGACTGTAAAGAGAGACATCTCAACCTTGCAATTATCTGCTAATCAAGACACAAACAAAAGTATTGCAGAAAATGAAACTGAAGAGGAAGTGGAAGTTGAAAATATTGAAAGGCCGGTTGACCTGTACAAGGTAACAACTGATTTCTAATCCTCTATGATTATCCTACTTATGGTTAATGCTACTTCCATGTGAAACAATTTCATTTTTTAGTCCTTGCCAAAGCTTATCTCATAAATGTTTATGATGCCTTTTTTTATATAAAGAATGTTTGTGACCTGCACAAGGTAACAACCAATTTCTAACCCTCTATGATCACCCTAATGAATTATGATTAATACTTCAATGTGAAACAATTTCTTTCTTTAGTCCTTGCCAAAACTCATCTCATAAATGTTTGTGATGCTTTTTTTAAATAATGTTTGTAATGCCTTGTTTATTGGTGACCATTAAAACTCGGGGTAGCTTTTGATGCACTAACATTTTGGTTTGATTCTCAGAACGGAGTATGTATCCGTACGCGAAAGTTTATTTTCTTGAATTATTATGCTCATTTTTTAGTGCATATCTTTGTAGGATGTTGCACTGCCAAGTCATGGGTACCCATAAAATATTTGTTTTTGCAGGCTATTTTCTCGGATGATTCAGATGATGAAGGAGAAGATGATACTATTATGAAAGTGGAGAATCAAGAAAAGAAAGCTGAAGTAGCTAACACAGCATTGAGCCGTTTGATTGCTGGTGACTTTCTGGAGTCTTTGGGCAAGGAGCTAGGGATTGAGGTTCCTCCTGATACACCTTACCCTCCGCAAAAGTCAAGCAATGATGCTTCCCAGAAAGAAAATGTTAATGAATATGCAAAACCTGACATCATAAGCAGTGAAAACAACAGTGTGGTGTCATTGAAACATGATTTGCCACAGGATCAGTACATTGCTCATGCAGGTGGACCCTCAAAAAGTGACATCCGGTATGGAAATATGCTCGATAACCGTAGCATTAAAACCAAGGGAACTAGTATCTCTGATAGTAAATCAAGTAAGTCTCGTGGGGAGAAGCGTGGAGATGATGGGAAGGTTAAATCCCCTTTAGTCAGCAACCAAGACTATACCAGCAGTTCAGAGGAGGAAAGGAGCAGAAAGCGCTCAAGTAAGTTGAATAAGGAAAAATATGACGAGCACAGAAAAACTAAAACACCATCAGCATCCCGCCTTGATTATAGAAGCAGTTCTTTATCGGAAGAGGAAAGGAGTAGAAAACGATCCAGGCATCATCGACACAGGAGGCGTGATGCTGGAAGTGATTCATCCAGTGGTGATGAAAGAGATCAACGCAGTTCAAGGTCAAAAGGGAGAAGAAGGGAAAAGTCTTCTCGAGAAAAAAGCACTGGAAGTAAGAAACACTCAAAACATCACAAACACAGAAAGCATCAATCTCCAAATAGAACCTCTCATAATAGCGTGGATAGGGAAGATGCACATTCTAGAAAAGAGAAAAGACGGAGGGAATGAGCAAGGTACCTTCTTAATAACTTTTTTGAGTTTGGTTGCAGGATCGTTGCTATATCAAAGATGATGTGTATTTTGGGGCTGTGATGCTAAAATGCAGCTTATGAATTGCATTTGCTTTAAGCTAAATTCAAGCCTCTTATTGTCTTTGGTTTCATGATTCACCGCATTGAAGGATGGCTGCTTAACTCAATTTCCCTACCAAATCTTTCATAAATGTAAGGAAATGGAATGGTTACCTGGTCTAAACATAGTCAGGGAGTTCTATATCCCAAAGAGTATAAAGGTTTGATAAAGAACATAGACCAAGGTCCTCAGGTTACAGTAGTAATGTATGTGATGAATTTAAACAGGATATACTTTTTTTGGTCATTATGTAACAGGATACCTCATATCTTGAAGTATAGTGATAGATTAGATGAATTTTGAATTATCCCAATCAACGCAATGCACAACCCCAAAGGATTGTGAAGTGGCACAACCCCAAAGTAACAATTATTAATGTCCTTTTTTATTTTAGTTACATGAATGTTACTGGTTATTCTGGGTGTCTTTTCATTTCAAACCTAAGGCTTCTCGCCAGGTTAGCAAATTTTTGTGAATTGGAAAAGATTAGTACACCTTATCAATGTAGATTTTTCTGGTGATGCTGTTAAGAGTAGTAGTTTATACACTATTAGCTGATATACTAGCGGCCACAGGACTTTATTGTGTAACATGACTTTTCTATTATAACGAGTGAGATATCTGGGTGTTCGCAGGAGTATTACATCCGGGTGTTTGCACGAGTATTACTGTCATACGTACAATTTTATTTATAAAATATAATTAAAATGTTAATAAGAAAAATAAAATTATTTTATAAAAATATATTATTATTTTTAAAAGAAAAACATTTAAAAAAAACATAATTGTTTTGTTAAAATGGTTTAACACGAATAATATATATATAACAATTTTCTATATATTATTTAAAAAAAATATATTAAGAAAAATGACAACAGAAATGAAAAATAATAAAATAATAAAATAATAAAAAAAATGAATTAGAAAAAAAGACAAAATTGACTAATAAAAATAATTTATTATTTTAAAAATAGATAATAAATTGGTTTTAATATTTTCTTCCGTATATAAATATATTTTAATTAATATATTTTAATTAACAAAATAATTATTTTAGAATGTAATAAAAATGTAAATTAAAAAAATAAAATTATTTTATCAACAAAGTTTTTGATTTGTAAAATAAATATATAAAATATGTAATAACTTATGTGTTCACACTGATTTTGGAATGATTACTCGTATTACGTATGTTCATTTGTTATCCATGCATGCGTTCACATAGTATATGATCTTACCTGATCAGATTTGGACCGTCACGACTGGCTCCGAGCAGAAGTTGAACGAGATGGGGGTACCTGCAAGACACTCCGATGCTAAAGTGAGTGGTAGTACGAGCAGGCAAAAATGTGTGTGTATGGGTAAGAGAATGAATACCTGACCCTCTAGGAATAAAGGGTATTTATAGTCCCCAGCGCGGGACCAAGGTCCCTTCATTGGACCGACCAGGACTGGCCCAATAAAGGAACTGTCAGGTTCTACGTGTGTAGTGGGGACCCACACGTGGTCCCCTTCCTGGTGATGCTCAGCGAGAAGTACGGAGGGACGAGGACGCGGTCTTTCCGGAGTTCCGGTGACGAAGTAACGGTCATAGTTTTCCCTACGAGGAGGGTGCTCGAGCTAGGCTCGAGCTGGATTTCATGTGGTCGAGGACGTCGTGTTCGCGGGCGGCGGCGGGCACGGCTGCAGCTTCTGGTCGACGCGCTGGCGGGAATATTCGGGCGCGCGCTCCTTGTAGAGCTGCTTGGATTGAGCCTTCGTTCTTGCTCTTGGGCCAGGACGGGCCCAGTCCAGAACAGGAGCCCCCTAAGTCGTGGCTCCTGGAGCAGGAGTTATGACTTGATCTCAGCTCGTCTCCTTCATGAGGCTTTATGCTCGGCCAGGATATTTGCTTCCCCGTGGTTGCTCGAGGAGTTTCTTCTGTGTTGCGTTCGTGAGATAATCTCTTTCGAGGCGTGCTCGGGGGACTCTTTGCGGGCTGTGCTCGTTGAGTATACGAGGCAACCCTTGGGAACCGTGACGCCACCCTAGTGAAGGTAGAGTCCTCATTGCCTAGGGGAGTAGACGTCGAGGAGGGAAAGTTCGTGGTTCCCCCGGGGTGACGTTTCGTATTCCACGTCATCCCTATAAATAGGATCATTGGGTCCCATAATCCGTTTTTCCTCTTCGCGCTTCTCCTCCTTCCTCTGCCTTTGTCGCCGCTGTTTTCCAGAATTTCATAGGACCACCGTGCTTTCCGCCGTCGATTTTCTTCCATGCCACCGTACATCCTTCCTAATTTCCAAGTAAGCGTTTTATCCCTCATGTTTTTCTCCGTGGTAGGTGATTTTTTCTGTTATTTGTATGTTAGAAATCTGCGCCTGGGATTAGTGCCCGGTACATTCGTGTTTATGCCCGGTATGTTTATGCTTTTGCCCGATAAACGCATGTTTGTGCCCGGTGAACGCATAGCTTTAGGTACGTGACTTACGATGCTGCTCGGGATCTTCATGGTTTTGGGCGCATAGCTTATGATATTGCCCGGTAAACCCATAGTTCTAGGTTTAGGATTTATGATATTGCTCGTCATATCCATAGTTTAGGTCGACGTACTCATGACTGGCCGAGAAGTTGGCCCATTTAGGCAGTATGTAGGACGACTCGTCGCGGCACTTTGGCGTCGGGGAGGTGACACCAGACTCTTGTTCGAGTCCACAACGTTTTGGCGTGCGCGGAGTATGACTTGGCTTGTCGTTCCCTTCTTCCCGTCAGTTATGGCGAGCGTATGGATTTGCTCCCGAATTGACCGGTTTTCTGTGCTTTGCAGGTAAAATGGCTGATGAATCGGAGTCCTCGGGGCGCCACGAGGTCGAAGACCAGAGTGCCGAGGAAAATGTAAATCTGATCGATACCGTTGATGATCCTTTGCTGGATTGGGTGGGCGCCGAGCCCAAAGGGATTACCTCGGCATATAGCCGGCGCAGTCGGAGCGCCTACACTATCGTCGAGCACGGCGGTAGTCAGCCGGGCTTTCAGAAAAACTTTGTGGTCATCAGACCGTCTCTTAACGCGCGGATATGCTCGGAGTTCTCTGAGTATGGGTTTCCCATGTATGAAATCGCATTCAAGGACCTCGGTCTCAAGCTTCCCTTTAGTGATTTCCAGGTCGGGGTGTTCAGTCATCTGGAGTTGGCCCCCTCGCAGCTTCACCCCAACTCGATTGCCTTTCTTCGGGCGTTCGAGCTGACGTGTCGCTATTTAGGGATTGGGGCGACCATACCTCTCTTCTTCAGAGTCTTTCATTTGCAACGCCAATCTCGGGGAGGTAGGCACATTTGGGTTTCCCTGAAACAGTCGAAGAGGCAGTTCAGGATGTACATGGATTCTGTCCGGGGGTTCAAGGACAAATGGTATATCGTGCGGCCGATCACCCAGACTGCTCTAGATTCTGTATATGAAGAAGAGACTGCAGTGATCGATGATAACATGGAGCCTCTTATGGACGATGAGGGTCGCCCGGTGTTGGGGCGCGTAGCTAAGTTTCCCTTGCATTGGAGCTCGCGCCACTATGAGCATTACCATACACCCGCGGGAGGGATGAGCACCAAAGACGAGGAGGCCTACGGTATCCTCTGCAGATATGTCGATAGTTTCTTCCCTGCCCGGTGGGCCACGAGGGAGGGAAAGGACATTCTCGACGAGGATGGTTACCCGACCTTCGAGGCCCGTCCTATAGATACAAAGGCGCTTGTGGAGTGCCAGTCCTACGGGCAGGCCGCGGACCTACTAGGTTACTTTTTGTCTTATAGTTTTGTTCTAATTTCTTCGTTTGTTACTTGCTCGTAACTAACCCGGATTATCTTTTTTGCAGGTCATATGGCCAGACGAAAGGAGAGGCTTCTAAAGTTGACACATGATAAGAAAGTCAACAAAAGGATGGTGCGAGCTCCTCAGGCGACGGGGATGGGCCCGCCAACTAGTTCAGGTGATGCTTCTGGCGGGTCCCCGGACTCCCATGATGTCGAGCAGCATATTAATCTGATACCGAGGAAGAGGAACCAGGCAGAGAGCCAGCCGGAAGTCGGCGATGAGTCTGGCGCGGTGAGGTCCTTTGGCTTGCCCCCCTGTTTTAAAGAGGAGGGCTTCTTCGAGGGGTTTCCCTTGACTGTAAGCGCCGATGAAGTTGATACCATTAGGCGGCTAAGTAAAGAAAGTCGGAGAAAGCATCTGGCCGCCAACATGGTCGGGATGGTTAAGATGGCCGAGATGGCCGTTGTCCTAGCTGAGGAGGGGGCAGACTCTGATCGCGTCAAAGAGCTGGAGCAGGAGAAAGTTGCCCTTGCTGTGAGCTCTCGAAAGTTGAAGGCTGCCCTGGAGCACTCTGAGGAGATGTTCCGCGAGCAAGCCGAGCTGTTGGCCGTAGAGAAGTAGAACTCGGGGAAGGTTACCGAGGAGAGGGACTACTTTCGACTGGATCGGGAATGCTTGGAAGCCGACAACGGGCCTCTCGCCAAAGAGGTCGAGGATCTGAAGGCCGCCATGCTTCCCGCCGAAGATGAGTCGGAGGAGACAGCCCCCTTGCGGATTCGCTCGAAATTGGTCGCTCGTATTCAACTCCTCAAGACGGACTGTGTTGGCGCCTTGGCGGATGGCTTTGAGGCCGCGGTTAGCCAACTCACTTTATTGAATCCTGGTCTGAATACCGAAGGGGCGGGCTTCATGTCCCAGATCATCGACGCCCAGGTCGTGCCTCCGCCCGAGTCTCCTGTCGTCGATGCTGGTAGCCCCGGGGAAGTCTAGCCGTGAAACTCTGGTAGGGCCTGCGCGCCCGTTTATTAATGGTTGTTTTTGGGGCATGCGTGCCCGTGCATATTTTTTGGGGCCTGCGTGCCCGTTCC